TATTTACTTATTTACTATTTACTTATTTACTATTTACTTATTTACTAGTAAATAGTAAATATTTTATTCACTTATTTACTTGTAAAGGGTACGTATATATTTGCCTAAATAAAAGTAAATAGTATATTAATTGTGCTCGAGCTATCTAATAAATATTGAGGGTGTGGATGTGACTTTTGGCGATTAAAATACTCACACCCGCACCCTTTGATGAAATTTTCTAGAGAATTGTTAAATCCTACTCTTATTCGAGACTGAAAAATCACTCAGCCTCATATGAGCCCTCATTGGTATGATCATGAGCTGTCCACCCCTAATATTAGCCTCAATATCTATTAGATAACTCGAGTACAATTTATATACTATTTACTTTTATTTTGGTAAATATTTATTTACCTAAAGTAAAGTGACGTAAGTATACCACCCCTCTCTGACATCATCTTCATTAATTATATATTCTAGTCCATGTAAAACAACAATATCTACTATCCCACTCCCGTCTCTTTATCTTCTGCCTTTGTGTTTCTCTTCCTTGTTCTTTTCTTTTTCTGCTTCTCTTGTATATGTGTTGGAGATGTATAAGTAGCTAAGAAAAAAATAAATAAACAAGTTGAAGTTGAGGTTAAAAGGTTGGTCAACGAGAAGAAAAAACATCATATTGTGGTAAGTCTTCATTACAGACCAGAGCTTCTTTAACCCTTTACGGCCGGCTACCAGAAGATAGCAAGCAAAAAATTCTCCTTCTATATATTCTTTGTCTCTTAGATGTGGAGGTTACCGAAATTCATCTTGGAGTTAAAAGAACTGATACTGAGCCGAATGTCAACATGTTGCCTTTTGGCAACAACCGGCCGCAAGGATACAAAAAAGTTGGGAAAAGTGAATTATTTTACCTCGATGGAAGTCCAATAATTTGCTGTTGGTTTTAGTCCAGATTGTCAAACAAAAGCATACTTTGTTTATCTGCCTACCTCTTACAGCCTCAATGTGCAATATATTGCCAAAATACTCAAAAACTTTCTGAAATAGTGCAAATTTCACCTATTTTCCCTAGGAAAGCCCATGAATTTAGTAAGATTTTAACAAGACTACTAATGTTTTATAGTAGTCTGAATAGGAATACTATGATGTACTGTAAATCTTGTTAGAATCTCGCTGAATTTGTGAGCTTCTCTGGGGAAAATAGGTGAAATGTGCACTATCTCGGAAAGGTTTTGAGTATTATGGGAATATATCGCACATTGAGGCTGTAAGAGGTGGGCAGATAAACAAAGTATACTTTTGTTTGATAATCTGGACTAAAACTAACAGCAAATTATTGGACTTCCATCGAGGAAAAATAATTCAATATTCCCAACTTTTTGTACTCTTGCGGCCGGATGTTGCCAAAAGGCAACATTCTTATACTCTATTCTTCGAGTAAACTGAATGATTCATCTTATTGATATAATAGATAATGGATCTGGGGAGGAAAATTAACGACTAGTTACTTCTCGCATCGAGTGCTCGCACAAATGGAAAACAGATCATTTCGACTCGAGGGCTGTTTCGGGTGTTGACGGGAGAATTCATCCCTCTTGTCAGTAATAGCTTTCTCCTTTCTTGAAAAGGCATAGGTTTGCCCTAAAATGCACGTAATTAATTATCAAATCGCTTAAGGAACTATATCTCATCACTTTAAGATAAATCCTAAGATGATATTGGCAAAATGTTGCCATTTGGCAACATCTGGCCGTAAAGGGTTAACAGTATTTATAGAAGATTTCCGATAATCTTGTTTTCTGGCAAGCGAAATCAAACTCGACATTTTTTTTTGGAACGATACAGACTTGTAGTGAAATAAATTTTCTACAAAATGCTGTGTTTGGATACACAATAAGAACCTATCTTTTCAAATACAGTGTACAGTGAAGAAACAAGGGAAAAACTTCGTTCTGCCGCTTTCTATAGGTATATAGTCAGATCGGTGAATGAAAGAAAGATCCATATACATGCATCAATACGCCATGCATTTAAGATGGCAGAACGAAATTTGTTTCCTTGTTTCTCCACTGTAAACTGTACTTGAAAAGATAGGTTCTTATCATATTCAGGAAATGATTATCGTATACTCAAACACATCATGTTATAGAGGACTTAATTCTCTACAAGTCTGTATCTTTCCAAAAACTGTTGAGTTTAATTTTTCTCCCTAACAAACAAAACTATTGGAAACCTTTATGAATACGTATTATAATTAGCGATTAATGTCGTTTATATAATGATTTTTAGGAACCAAAGACACAATTTAATTCAGTTTGGTTTTTTCTATCAAATGATATATTTTGTGTTACGTCCAAATAGATGGAAACATGTTCTGTCCATATCGATGATACTATTATATATTCACAAAATGTTACCAAACATTTATAACATATCGAAGAAGTATGTTCTTTATTACATTGTTAGAAACTGCCATCTATATAACATATATAGATGGCCGATCCTCCTTCTTCTTCCTTTTCTTCTCTTTCTTCACTTCATTGGACAGGTGTTTTTGTTTTTACTAGATCAGGTGAAGACGTGATATATGTTTTGTTGATCTATAGTCTAACTGTTGTTTATTTTTATAGTTATGATTTGTTTTTTTTTTGTATTTTTTGCGAGAAGTTTTAGGTTCTTATTATAACATTGAGAAATAAAAGAAACGGAACTCAACATAAATGAAGCCGATTATAAATTAAATGTTGATAAATATAAAGTAGCAATACCAGAAATATTATTTCTTGGTCATTTTGAGCAAGTAGTTTTAAACCAGATCCAGACAACATCTGTGGTTGGCTGAAAGACGAGAACCAACATCAGCTGAAGAAACATTTAGATTCGTCAAAGTAGCAGAATATTATAGAAAATTTATTTCATAATTCTCCCCCATCGCCACACCATTACATAAGTACTCACCAACAACATTACAACAAGAAAGAAGTAGTAATAAATCAAAATTTGAATTATCAGACGAAGCTAGAACAGCATTTCACCACACTGAAAAAAAAATGGTACGACATCGAACCAAAAAAGGTACTTTGAACGAAAAAAGGTTTCGTACATAGTACGGAACCTAAAAAGATTTCGAATTCGTTGCAATTCTCTGAACCATTTTAGGTTCAGTACAGACCACTTCTGAAAACTTGAAAAAGTGTTCTGAGTCAATGACAATCAATTTTAGTCACCCAAAGTTTTGTACGAAACCTTTTGAGGGTTTCGTATTATATTCCTAAATGGTTCCGTAATCATACAAATTTTTTTGCAGCGTACCGAACCATTTAGGAAGACAATACGAAACCCTCAAAAGGTTTCGTACAAAACTTTGGGTGACTAAAATTGATTGTCATTGACTCAGAACACTTTTTCAAGTTTTTCGAAGTGGTCTGTACCGAACCTAAAATGGTTCAGAGAATTGCAACGAATTCGAAACCTTTTTAGGTTCCGTACTATGTGCGAAACCTTTTTTTCGTTCAAAGTACCTTTTCTGGTTCGGTATGGTACTATTATTTTCAGTGCAGTTCAAACATATATTGACAATTGATCTTATTCCCGATTTTCCTGATGATGCAATACCATTTAAATTACAAGCTGATGCTTGTGTGGATGGTAATAGAGTCGCCTTACTACAAATTACTCTCGATGCAGATTGGTCACCAATATATATGTCGAAAAAATGAACGAAATCACAAACCAACTGGCCAATTACTCAGCAAGAATATTATGCAATAGTGCAATGTGTGAAAAAATGAGACAAATATCTTCGAGGACATGAGTTTATTTTAGAAACTGATTATGAAGCAGTAGTTAATTTTTCAAACAAGGAGTAATTAAATAAAAACTGCGAATGATGGAAATTAAAACTAGCAGAATATCGATTCCAGGTGAAACATATTTAAGGAAAGAAAAACAATATGGCAGATTATCTCTCAAGGTCATCAGTCGAAATAGCTGAAGAAGACATTGAAGAACAAACAGATGTATCATTTTCATCATTAAATAATAATTTAATCCCATTAAAAATGACAACATCGTCGACTACACCAATCGATGAAAAAATAAATGAGCTCATCCAACAATGGAAAGTAGCAATGGATAAAGAATCGATAGAACAACTATCAGATGAAAATCCAAATAAGACCATTCTATTTAATATGAATGATCTGAAAAAATATCCACACGAACGCAAGACAGTGCAAGGAATAATGAAGAATATTAGACGTAAAAAACATTATTTTATTGAACATGAAATATTATTTCGACGACAACCGCCACTTCCATTAGTGCTATTCGTTCCAAAAGGATGTATACTTGCTGATATATTAAAAACTTGCCATAATACACATAGTAATGAAGCTCATTTTTGACATGATAAAACAACAGGAAGAATTCAAGAACGTTATTACTGGTCAATAATGATAGCTGATATCAGAAACCGTTTAAACTCATGTTTATCATGTGTACAAGACAATTATCGTCATCAGAAACTGCCAAGAAAATTAAAATTAATACCACCATCTGACGGAATATGGAAATTATTAAGTATGGTTTTTCCTGATCCAATCATTCCAGCATTAAAACGAGGAAATAAATACATTATATCTCAGACAGATGTATTATCCACATTTGTAGTTACAAAAGCTGTTCGGGATTATTCAGCAACAACCGCAGTAAAATTCCTTATAAACGATGTTATATTAAAATATGGAACTTCAATATGTATTTTAACTGATAATGGCACTCATTTTACTTCTCAACTTATGAACAAATTGTTTGAATATCTTGGAGTTACTCATTTATATTCAACAGTATATCATCCATAAACAAATGGATACATGGAACGATTTCATGCCACTATAGATGGAAAAATTGCAGCTTCATGCAATGAATGACGAACAAATTGGAACGAAGTATTACAATTTGTCATCTTTAATTATCATACATCAATACATGCAATCCCAAAACAAACATCATTTGAACTCATGTATGAACAACAAGCTACTCTTCCATTCAATCAGCAAAATGAAATTGTTTCGTTCACACAAGTTCCAGAGCGAAGTCAAAAATTAGGACATATCTTGAACAATTAGTAAATGAGGCTCGGAACAATATTATGAAAAATCAACAACAATATAAGGCTCGATATGATTCAAAAAGACAAGATCTATTATTAAAAGTCGATGACTTAGTTTTGGTAAAAACAAGAAACATTCGAAACAAATTTAATTCAAGATATGACGATAAATTCAAAATTATTAAACAGTTAGAAAGCAAAACATTGATTCTTCAGCATGTTAAGAAATTGACATTGAGAAGACAAGTGACAATGGATGGTATGATTTCATTAGTAAAACGATAGAATTTAGTTTAATAAATACATCCTGTAAGGGAAAGATGTGAAACATGATAGTATAATTAGTAAAGTAAAGGCGATAGTCATTAACAATTAAGTAAAAATGATTGGGTTTGATTCATCAATTCATGGCGGAGAGACAGATTTTCATCATCTCACTGACAATGGACGGCTGTCGAACTTGAACACTCATTTTAATTTATTCTATTTCATTCTACTTTATTTATTTTGTTTATCTTATTAATGCTTAGTCCGCAATGGCACATTATCCAATCATAGTGCATAATAAGCGAGGCACTTTCACAGTTATGGACAAACTGTCTGGTGTAGAAAGTGATGCACGTAGTTCACGTGAATAATTTTACTACGATCAAAGCAAGAACATGATATATACACATACCATATCAAAGGAAAGGAAAATTTTAATATATGAACATTAATCGAGCCGTGTCTATACATGAACGAAAGAAAAAATTCGTTCGAAAAGGAAAATTCACTTCGTTATTTCATTTGATGATAACATATAGTGTTTCTGTTTCAGTCAAATATTACTATGTCTAATTCAAAACAAAGTTCATCGGATCCAGCAGCTTATTATTACGAGTTAAATGCTAAACAACAATGGAACTAGAGATGTACAACCCGAAGAATTGAAAAAAATGAAGAATTAAAAAGAAAACTTCCATCTTTTAATACATCATCAAACATCACCATCATCCATCTGCATTACATACAAGTCATCAAATATCATATCAACCTGCATAAATGTGGCGTTTTAGTTAGCTCTAAATCCGCAAATGAACAAGAAAAAGCATTAACGAAAATGCCAACTAATTATTTCGCGAAAGAACAATATGAAGAACAATGGGAGTCTGAGAGAAAAAAAATACGTAAAATAAAAATAAAAATTTATTAATCAAATATAATTATTAAAGCACAACAAACAATATAAAATAGCAACAAACACGACTAAAAAATCACAATAAACAACTACGACAACAATAATAAACAATTACAACATCGACAGCACACAACCACAACAACGAATAATTACGACAACGACACAACAATAAACAAATAGAATCAATCAAGTTTACAAAAATTCTAACATTCTGATTTCTTTAGATTATCGAAACCCATCACACTAATAACAACATTGGCAATATTAAGGATTTTGACAGTGATATTATTAGCATTTACGCCATCAACATCGATTTTCTCAACAACATCTTTATCAACATTAACTGTTTTAGAACATGATATTAACTATATGAAACATATCAACAAATAGTATCATCATTTGATTGTTTATAATTGGAATAACGTCAAGAACATTATTTGATGTATTGATAATTAGAATTCAATATTTAAAATTATGCTACACAAAAAAAGAAGAAAAGAATCTGGTGAAAATTCGTCAATAATATATTATGTTAATCTATATTTAACATTGGTTCTATAATTTGTTATTATGTATGCTCAATATATATTTCAACTTGATATTACAATAGTTCAACATGAATCATTCCAAAATCTTCTGTTACCCATGTAAAAAAAGTAGGCAAAAATCAACTTTTTAGTACTTTCAAAAGTTTTTTTTTTTACACAAGCAAAGTTACTTATAAGTGAACCTTTGTAAGTACTTTTCATACTTTTTGACTAAAAAGTACTATTAAGTACTAGTGAAAGTGTGAAAAAGTAATAAAATTCACTAGAAAAAGTGAAACTACTTTTAATATTAATATAGCATAATAATTTTAATTTTATTATTATTTTCACTTTTTCTAGTGAATTTTATTACTTTTTCACACTTTCACTAGTACTTAATAGTACATTTTAGTCAAAAAGTATGAAAAGTACTTAAAAAGGTTCACTTATAAGTAACTTTGCCTGTGTAAAAGAAACTTTTGAAAGTACTAAAAAGTTGGTCTTTGCCTACTTTTTTTACATGGGTAATAACAGAAACCAAAAATATCAATCATTATCACCAACAAGCTTCAATTTTTCATAAACTGATTTACTATTGACCATTTTGATTATTGTTTATTTTTTCTCAATTAATGAAGATATTAAATATTTAAATGATCTTCCTGAATAGATTACAAATGTATCTGTTCGTATTGCTATGTTATTATACGATCGATCATCACAAGCGTTACAAATACTTAAATTATGGAAATATTCTAATAATAATATTAAACGAAAAGATTAAATTATGAATCATTTGAACATAATCAAGTCATCAGACAAATTGATGAACTCAATGTTAATGTATGAGAATACACATCCAATATGAAAGAGAAGGAATATTAGCGGTGATTCACCTTCAATCTTGTCCCTGATCTCTCTCTCTTTTTGTTCTTTGTTTATCGTTATTATTGTTGTCGTTTCTCTCTTTCTTTCTATCTATCGTTTTTTCTTTGATTTCTCTTCTCTATCGCTTATGTTATATATATGAAAGCTGATTCAAGGACGTTGAAAAAATATAACAAAATAAACGAAGTTAAGCTCGTCGAAGCGAGCTAGTAATGATATGCAACTTAGAATATTTTGATACAGAATAGAGGCGCTAAAAATCTTACAGGCGTCCAAATAATTTTTCGCATAGGAAATCCAACAGCTTATAGAAAGCTTTCCAAAAGTTGATGAAAACCTTTCTGAGAGAAAATTTTCTTACACAATGAAATAGAGACTTCCGTCTACGAAGTGGTCTAATCAGAGTTCAGAAAATGTTTTTGTTTCTTCTTTGTGAAATTTATTTCACAAGACAACTATCAGAGGGTGTTCAAATAACTATTTTACATAGTGTACACTTACTCGATGAATTTTTTAGAACTCTTGTGTGTCCAACACCAGAATAGTATTGTGATCGATCGACGTTGTTTTATGACTGAGAGTGAAGCCCTGTATTGTCTATATATACGTCGCGAAATCAGTTTAGGTTTTGCGCATGAATACCTACATATGAATGAATAGAGCGTAATACATTGATTATATACTGCCTTTGTTTAGTAGATATATTTTTGTCATTTTGTTTATTCTATCCTCTATTATTCGAATAGATTACTCAACGACGATGAATAATCAATACAATGTTAGGCAGCATCTGCGCTATACCGTTCATTCAACTATATTCTTCTCTCGAAGAACAGAATTCACAACATGTGATGGTTTCAATAACCATTGTTTCTCGCTCAACAGTATAATCTTGATCAAATCCAACCTCACACGACATTTTCACACATAATCAAGGCTATCTGAGTTTCTTCAATGATCGAACCGCGTTTTCAGTTCGGTTTCCAATTTCAGATACGGCCCTTCTTTCCCCAATCAGGAAAAGTTTTTAAAAAAATCAGTTAAAATATATTAGCGATTCCTGAACACGTTACAATGGTTAAAATTTGTCAAGACTTGCGCGCTTCTATCCATTTTCAGAGCAAATTGCACGAGCTTTATCGTGTTCAAAGGCTAAAACACGTAGTAGCGCGGAAAAATTAGTTAATAAAACACTTTTTCGAGCGTATTTTTTTGAACAGGTTTCATTATATTCAACAATCACTTGTTGTGTCTTACTTTTTTAAGCAATCAGATCGTTTAAATGAATTCCTCTCTTGAGTTTAGTTGAAACGCAGAATCTTTAATTCGATAATCTGTGTTTTTTTATTATTAGCATTCTTTAGGCCTATGACCGTATGGATTTTCAAAGGATAGTTGAGCTCTAGAACCATAGATAGCAATAGTAAACTGAATTAAAACAAGATAAGAAAAAAAAAAAGAAAAAAAATGAAATGAAAAAAGAAAGAACAAAAACATGAAGCAGCGAATACGGTATGAAGAGAGATAAGAAGAAGATCAATACAATAATTGGAGATACCATGTTTCAGAGAGATGAGCCATACGTTTATATATGCATTTTTCCTTTCTTTCCTCTTGTTCTTATCTCTTTTAGACTCATATCTCAATCCTCAATCCACGTTGTTTATTGTTAGTCAATCACAACTAACGTTTCTTATTTACTTTATTCACAACAAAACAAAAACCGACCAACAGCAAAGCAGTATCTCTCCCTCATAGCATATCAAAGAAAAATATGAAAGCGATTAGATAACGAATCGAGAGAGATTAAAAAAAGAAAAGTAGTAACTTGCAGATAGCGTCACTACTCAACACCTTTACCATTTACTAGTGGACAAACTAACTATTCATGAAGATATATCAACAAAACAAAAAGAAAAGTAATGAAACAAACGCCACCTAATGTACAGTAATACATAAGATAACACCCAACAAAAGAAATGATATGGAAATGATGAGTGCGATAGAAGCTACCCAAGCAGTCAAAAATAACAAATTAACACGTAAAAACAGCCACTTTCAGTTTTGCTCTCAACGCCTTGTACACTTCGACAAATGTCCGAATTTTTGCGTTTCAACAGTTGATATAATTTGGACTTTCACATGGTTAGAACGAGTGGAAAAATAAATATTTAAACACATTTATAAAATAACTGCATTAAAACGGAAAAATTCGGACATTTGTTGAAGTGTACAAGGCGTTCCAAACAAACATTTTAACGCTAGTGATATGCAACCATTTTGTCGCATTATTGAGTCAAACGCATGAAAACTCGTAATTTCTAACATTTTTAAATTTCTGAAAATTGTTAAAAAACCATATTTTAACAGATCCCATGCGCCACCGATTTCTCTTTTTATAACAGACAATGAATCAAAATTCTGCCCATACACACACTAGTAGCTGTACATAATGTATACTAATGAACGTGATATTCGAATTACTAATAATAAGTGCATTTCGCCACACTGCTCAATTCTTACAAAACAAAAGAAAACAATGGTAAAATTGTCTTTATCTCGGAAACCATAAATAAAAATTTCAATTTATCAAAGAAAAGTTTCATTTTGTTTACTATTTTTAATTCCTATGTAGGTAATTCTATCAACATGCAATAAAAGAAATTTATCTTCTGCTTATTCATATACATATATGTGATTTACATTATGCCAAGACAACTCTATTAACATTCAACTAAATATTTTCATTTTGTTTCTTATTTTAAATTCTATTTTTAATTTATGTATAAATAATGCTATCAACATGCACTAAAATAAATTTATATTCTGTTTATTCATATAAATATATCTAATTTATTTCATACCAAGATAACTCTAATAACATTCAAAAAAATATTTTCATTTTGTTTTTTATATTAAGTCCTATTTTTCATTTATGTATAAATAATTCTATCAACATGCACTAAAATAAATTCATATTCTGTTTATTCATCTAAATACATCTGATTTATTTCATGCGAAGATGGCTCTATTAACATTCAAAAGAAAATATTTTCATTTTATTTTTAATATTAAATCCTATTTTTCATTTA